TTAACTAGCGAAAGATTAAATTTAAAAAAAAAAAGAAGAAAAGTATATATCATAAATCACTAAATTCTTTTAAATATTTAATTCAAAAAAAGTAATAAATTTTGGAAATATTTCCGTGTAAATTTTATAATAGTTTGGTGGCAATAAAGAACAGTTTAAAGATTTATGCGCTGAAGAGATATGAAAGATGGTAATTTTGATGCCTTCTTTTCCGTAAAAAAAAAATACATTTTTTAATAAAAACTCATCTAATAACTTTCATTGATAACTTCGAGACGTATTTTTTAAGTTAAGAAAGTTATTAATCTTTAAATTTTATTGAAAATTCTTGAATTTTTGATCTCAACTTCACAGATCAACAGTCCGATTGAAGCATCTTCGCCATCGGTTAGGAAGCAATTAAACTATCAAATACTGAACAGATTTAAATTTTCAAAGAAAAAAAAAAGGGCAGGAATTAGCAGGAAATGCATAGGAATTGGTAGAAATTTCCTTCACATTTTAAAGAAAATTACATTCTGAAAATCTTAATCCCAAAATCGATCCTCGGAAATCCTCTTTAGGAAAATGAAATCTGTTCCAATTTCGTGCCGTAATTCCACAGAATATGAGGGGGGAAAAATGTCCAACAAATACTCTAAAATGTTAAATTTTGAAGAATCGTATTAAAGTTTACGATTACATAAAGACTTTTTTTTTTTTTTTAACTTTTCGTGGAATTTAAAGCTTACTTTCAATCCAAATAATACATTAAAATTTTGTATAAATATACTTAAGATTGAGAGATTGTGTAAGTTAAGTTCAGTAAATACATATATACATAGCCTATATTTTCTTAAGAAAGAAAGGACATTAAAAAATCTTAAACTTATTATTATATTTATAACTTACCTTTACACAATCTTAACCATCTGTTACACATCTTAAAACACTTGTCAAAGATGTGTAACAGATGCAACCAATTGAAATTTCATTAGCTACATGAACATAAATGCTGATAATTGAGGGATTATAAGGAATAATTATCCAAACAAGGATGCTCCTTACAGCATCCTTATTATAAAGATGCTGTAAGGAGCTTCGTGTATATAAAGGTTCGAATTGTGTACAGACAAATAGAATTTCTCTAAAAATTTCGCGATTAAATATATAATTTTTAATGAAAATTAAACTTAATATATTTATTATTATATACAATACATAATTTAGATATTTAAGTATATTTTTTTATATTAAAATAATTAATTTTATGAGTAAGTAACGTGCACTCGGTAATAAAAACGTGTGAGAGATAATCGATTTTCTGAAGAAAAAAATGTGAAAAATAATAATTATTATTATATTATNTAATTTTTTTTAAAAAAAAATACATATATATATTATTAAATTAATCGTCTCCAACGAAAATTTGGTGTGTTAATTTAAGCTTATATACATTAAAATAGTTGTTTACGAGTGGAAACATTAATACAGTACCGCCATATTTTTCTTTTCCAATTTTTATAAATGACATTATCATTGCTTTATCATATTTCCTTCCACGTTTGATAATATATAATTTTTCATTTTTTATTTTTATTTTTGGGAGGTTAAAATTTCTGATTTTATTTATATAAATTTAACTATTTAACCCAGTAAACAAGAATAAAATGCCAACAATTTGAATAAAATTAAGTAAATGAGACAGGATGAATGATGATGTTAATCATCAAGCACCTTCATTATCACCTCATATACATAGAATATTATTATCTTCTCTTCTTATTTATACATAAAAATACTTGTAAAGTAAAAATTTAAGCATAGTTTTACGTAACGTAACGTGTCATAATTATAAGGGGTATAAGAAGATTTATTTTACGTATAGCCAAACAGTAAATGAATTATAAAGATAATTTTATTCTCTTAGAGTATGCAAAACTTTTTTATTCTTATTCTATTCTTCTAGAAGAATGTGTTCTTTAGAATGAATATTCCTCTAAATATATGGTCTAAAAATACAAAAGTTTAAGAGAAAGACTTATGTATTATCAGACTATGCATTCTCTATTCTTAGACTATTCATTCATAGACTTTTCTACTCTTAGACTATTCATTCATAGACTTTTCTACTCTTAGACTATTCCTTCTTATACATCACTAAGCATTTATTTAACACTTCTCTGTACTTTAACTATGCAAAGAGAATGTATATTCTAAGCATACAAGAAGAAAATGCATACTTAACTATTCATTCTCTTCTTATACTCTTTCGTGCATTCTTCTATATTCTATAAAAGAAATTATTCTTATTCTTTCTTCCCCACGTAAGCAAGAATATTGATAATAATTCTTGTATAAGAAAATACACATGAATATACAATACATTTTTTTTTTATTTCTTGAATATCTGCACGTATGTTTAGTCATGTACAAATCAAGCTAAGTGTACTGTACGTATTGATATGTATTGTACAGAAGGCATTTAGAATATTTCAAGAGAAATCAAATTTAATGGGTCATCCTAAAGAAGAGAGAATAAATTTAAAAGGAGAACTAACAATACGAATTTTCGAAATTTATGAAAACATTGGTTGATGAATTTAAATTCTCTAGTCGAGATATCACGCTATTTTTATTTATTTAATTCTTTTTTTTTTCCTTTGTATTTTCGTAAAGTTTTAAAACATAAATCGATCCTTCCTTCTTTCTTTCTTCTTAATGAATAAATTGATATTCATAAGATAATTATTTTTTAATTATATTTAAACTAAAATTGGATTCAAAAATTTCATGTGTCCCGCTTCATTTTCTTCCTCTATAATTTTTTGGACAGTTAATTTATGTGTTTAAATACATATTTTGAAGTTCGATTTAGTAATTAATCTTACTTTTCTTCTCTTTTTAAGAATGGAACAAAGATTAGTTCGTGGGTTAATTTAGATAATTTCACTGGCGATTTCACGAAAATGAGCGTTATATAGAGGGAAAAACTGCCAGAAAATATGATTAAACCTTTATTATTTTAAATATGAAGCTTTATAACAGATATTATTATATTATTAGTGGGTTTATACGCATCGTTTCCACTAATATACATGACCTCCGATTACGTTTATAAACTAAATTTTTCTAGTCTAGACACTTTTGTATAAAAATTTAATTTTACAAAACCGCAACTAAAACTATTTATAGACGTTTAAATAATAATATTAAAGTGAAATTTGACTTTATCTTCCTCCCTATTTTACCATTATCTATATTATTCGCTGCCTTTGATATGTGGGTATTATCGTTAAATACCGTACAGCAGAAACAGCAGCAGCAGCATCAGCAGCAGGAGCACTTCCTTTACAGAATAGCACAAGAGAATTTCTATTTATAATATAGAAATAACGCAAAAATAAACTGAAAGTTAAACGTTTACAGATGCTGATTACAATGAAAATAATCAGCGTAAAAGAATAATAATAATAATAATAATAATATACGAAACAAAAGACAAGAGAGAGAGATCAGCAAGCATTTAATTACCAAAAAAAGCCATCGTTTTAAAATAAAAAAAAAGAGGAAAAATCATTTAAATTCGCATAACAAGAATATTGAATAATGAATAACTCGATACGAGACTGTTAAACTGAAGCTTGAGGCAATTCTTTGTACAGATAAATAGAAGATATGCGGAGACTTTTGCTTTTCTCCTTCTTCAATCCCTATACAGGGAGGTTCTGGTAACTAGATTGAGGAGCTGTCAATGCAATGTGACTGATCTTATTTCCCTCTTTTCCAAGATGGCTTCCGAAAGCTTCTTACAACGAAGAATATCTGACGAGCCTTTTATTGACTTTGGTACGGCAGCAAAAGATATACGACTATAAGATCCGAACGTATAGGAAAGAGAGAGCATATCTTATAGCAATGACACTATCTCAATAACCGATCGCTGATAAATCTCACATATATATATATATATATATATATATATCCGGATGTACTAAAAACATTAACACAGTTATAGATAGGAACAGAACGAAAACAAATTTAATATAATTAATATATGACGTCAGGAGGGATTCATCGAAAATGGAAGTAAACAATTACCAAAATTAGTCTCGCAGTAAAAATCGTAACGAGAGAAATAAAAATAAAAAAATTTAAAAAAGAAAAAAAAAGAATTTCATTCGTCTACGATAAATTAAACCATTATTACGTAACAATTGAATTAATTTATACGTCTTCCTGACGTAACAATACAAGATTTAAACTCGTATAAACGTGTCAATTTCGTTTTTTTTTTTTTTAAATTAACGGTCGAATTTTTTTTTGTATTTTGTATTTTTAAAAAAATGTAAAATTTAATTGCGTTTATTAATAATTCTCGTTATAATTGGCAATTAGAAGACACGGTAGATTTAGTTGGAAAGAAAGATAAAGTCGATATAAAAGGGGACGAGAACAAAAAAAACAAAATATATAGTTGTCAATTGTATTCTAAAATACATCTGGTATGGCTTTTCTGGTACCAGACACTGACGGTTGAATGAAAGGCGTATAGAGCCCACAAAAACACCCGGCATCTCTACCCCCGTACTCTAGACAGCTGGTACTATATCATTGTAACGTTTAAAACTAGAAATAACGGTCAGACAAACACAGCGGTCAGTTACATTAGCAGAAAACACAGTTAACCAGTAATTCAGTAAATCCCCCCTCTCTCCACACAAGTAAAAAAAATAAAAGAAAAGAAAGAACCGAACACTAGAAAAAGAAAAACTTCAAAAACAATCGCGAAAATTTCCGAGGAAGGAAGTATAAATCATATAAAGAAAATCAATTGTACTTTTTTAATACATGATATATATATATATATATATACAAAGTATAGAAGACGTGGTTGAAGTGTACAGAATTAAAAATTATAGAAGAAGAAAGGGGGGAAGAGAAAAAGAGCGAGCGAAACAGAAAGAGAGAGAGAGAAAGAGGGAAGCGAGGGGGGTGGAAAAAAGATATTGATGTCTCACCTTACATAAAAGATGAGCAGGGGAATCTCGTCAACACATGCTCAAGTCTCACTCATTGCTTCAGTGGACACGGCGCAACATTCCCACCTTCGACTGCGGCTGACTAAAGTCGGATTCGCGTTGCATGCCGGGACGGAATGAATGGGCACGGTCCAATATTTTGTCACGGGGATGTAGCCTTCCACTACAGGTGTGGGAGCGTAGTTCTAAATACGGAACCGGACATGTGGTGAATGACGGGATACTGAAGTGTTTCTACCAGGTCACGTGGTCCGTTCATAATGATAGATAACACGTGTATCGGTTGATTATAAACTTATATATTTTTTAAAATAATTATTACTAAACCCTCTTCTCTGTCTTAACCGAGTTCAAAGGTCAATCACTAATTTACGATTTAAATTTTTATCGGTTAAGTAAACAAATAAATATCGAGGAAAATTGTCTAGACGTGGATATATTTATAATTGTTTTCAATTAAAATTAATAAATTGTTTTGGAATTCTTTTTTTTTTCTGTTGATTTTAGCTGCGAGGACTGAAGGAAGAGTCAACAACACACAAGAATTCTTGTGTATAAAATATTAAATAAAAAAAAAAATACGGCTATCGTTTATTAAGGTGTAATTAAAAATTTATATTACGTTTCGTTTCTTAAACTACTTTAACTTTATAATATTTAATCGTATTAAAAATTCATTATAATTTAGTATTATAATCTTTACGCACTTAGCCAAACCGCAGACGTCCATTTTTATTATTTTTGTTTTTTTTTATTTTTAAATATTAAAGGATCGTTATAATATATGAGGCTTCTTCACTCTAACAATAGGAAGTCCATTAAGTTTGTTAAGCTATCGATTATTTTTCTAAGTTTTTTTTTAGAATAAATATATCTAAAAAAAAGTGCACTTGTATGTAGCTTATCATAGAGAAGGCTCCTGTTCTTCATCCATGATTTTTATTATTATTTTTCTTATGTTTTTCTTTTGGATTTAACCTCTGTAAAATACTGTTTTGTGAGCTAAATTTTGTGCTTTAAAAACTCGATAAAATGTATTTAAATAATGTTTATAATTCGATGAACTTATTAGGGATTTATTTTTAGACAAAAAAGGCTCAGAACTCGAGGAAATTCTTACTCATCTTTCAACTGTTAGACACCTATTTAAGCCTTCGTTCCTCCTCATCCTCCTCCTCCTCCTCTTCCATGATTTTTTTTGGATTTAACTCCAGTAAAATATTATTTTTATAAGCTAAATTCGTGCTTTAAAACCCGATAAAATATATTTAAATAATGTTTATAATTCTAAGAAATTGTTAAGGTTTTACTTTCTAAACAGGAAAAAAAAAGGCTCAGAACTCGAGGAAATTCATGCTCATCTTTCAAATGTTAGAGACCGATTTAAGCCTTTGTTTTCCTTACTAAATTCTTTTTTTTTTTCCTGTCTTAAGAGCTTTAGAAAAAGCCCACGAAAGAAATTTTGAGATTATTTTTATATTTTTTCTTTTATTTTCATGGTTTTAAGAGATAGAAAAGGGGTTCTGTTGGCTAAATCTATACATAAAACGATGATATATTCATCGAAAATAGGTGTTTTATAGCACGGCTGGTGGCTGTAAAAAATTCCTAAATTTCTCTAACGTTATTTATCCTCTCTTTAAAATATTTTATAAGCGATTTGATCATAAAAAGAATACGTCAAAAATAAAATAATTAATGATTAAATTAACTAATAGCAAACCATGATCCTTGCGGCTCGATGAAGTACCTCTCGAGTGATTATTATAAGTCGATACGCTCTTAAACTTCTCCATAAAATTAATTCATTTATATTGAAAAAAAGAATATATATATATAATTTAACTTATTATTTAATAAATTCGGCCATTATTTATTATTAATTTAATACTTTTCTAAGTCTTTTCATCACCTGAAAGTAACACCAGAAAGTAGAAAGGCAATTCATTTAAGGCAATTTTTAAGATAAAAGGCTTCTAAGAAAATTGAAAAAGAAGAAAAAGAAGGTTTAAAAGGTAAAGTATAAGAGTTATTTACACTAAAAAATAATAGAAAAATATCCTTAACAAAAATGATGCTTGGCAGATTCCTCGTATAGAAAATGCAACAAAACATTCTTGACATATGAAGAGGAACACGTGTAGAGACGAGTTTATTTGCCTAATTTTTTTTATATATTATATATTATTCTCCTCCATTTTTTTTATTTTTTAAAAGAAGAATTTCTCCTTCCTAATTTTAGTAATAAAAATTTAAATTATTAAGAAAATTTCCTATAATTTAATATAATGTCACTAGCTAAGAAGGATGTAAAAAAAAACATTTCATTCCTAATTAAATAATTATTCAAATAACTTTATAAAATATTTTTTAAAACATTTTAGTATAGAATTTTATATATTTTATTGTTTTAAATGATGTATTTTATCATTAATTTAAGGATGCATTCTAAATGATCAGTAACCACACCTATATACTGTATATACATGCGCTTGAGTAATTATAATTACACAGATCCTATATATGCGGCTATAAACGACAATCTCATAGATTAAACCGCAAATATAAGATACAATATAACCTTCTTCAGTGACCCTCAGTGACCTTCTTCAACGTAAACTTACATAAAAATAAAATATTTTCGATAGAAACACCCTTTTAAAATTAACACCTCAAGCACTGTTTTATCGTTGTTTACATCAATAATTAAATTTTATATAGCTATAAGTTTATAATATAGTCAGAAAATGATGTGTAAGCTACCTATTTCGACGTAAAAATGTACAAAGATGGTATATTTGTACTAGAAACACCCTTTAAAATTAACACCTCAAGCATTATTTATTCGCAGTTACCCCCCTAAAAAAACATATTATAATTAAATTTTATATTATTAAATCCTTATAATATAGTTAAAAAATGGCGTGTAAGTCACCTATTTCAACGTAAAAATGTACAAAGATGGTATATTTTTACTAGAAGCGCTCTTTAAAATTAACACCTCAAGCACTGTTTATTCGCGATTAACCCGAAATATTTAAATTTTATATTAATTAAAGCCTTATAAAATAATGAGAAACACTATTTTAACAACGTAAACGGGCATAAAAAGTGGAATATTTATAGGAGAAATCACCAATAATTCCCTTTCGAATCACACACATATACACATCGAATATATTAAATGCATTGTTTGAAGGGGCGTATATCATTCAATATCGCAATTACAGTTGCGAGATCAAACATCGGGGAGTAGAACAGTAAAGAACAACAGAATAAACAAGACTGCAACTGCAGCAAATCACAGATAGAAAAGAGAGAGAGAGAGAAGAAGAAGAAGAGAGAAAGGAAGACAAGGAGGAACGTTATCTAAAATTTATACTTCAATCTGCGCCAGAAAACAAATCCAACCCAGAACAAGCCATTGAAAATGTCAGCAACCGGTTTTAGTTATTGCACCGCTTTCCTTTCCCAAATTATTGCACGCGATTCACGTACTTCCGTTTCGATCGTTGGAGCTCACGTGATTATTGCATGTATGGCTTATATAATGCATCACTCCCCCCCCNAAATCTATAAAATTTTTATAGAATTTTGGTGTTTTTTTTATAGGATCCAAGCTAAAGAGCGTACATCTTGTCACAAATCATTAGCGATTTTTTTCAATGTTTATTAATTATTTAGTCAAATATTTTAATAAATGTGGGATTTTTGATAATTATAGTCAGTAAATTTACTGATTTAATCAAAATAATAGTAATTCAAATGACAATATAGAGATTTTACGGATTCCTCGTGTATTTTTACAGATTTTCACGATATTTTTAAAATGGAACGTCAACAAAAAACTAAGGAAAAACTGTATCGATGCTGTAAAACCAATAAAAATTTGCAGATTTTCATTAAAATTTATTCTAAAAATACACACTAACATTGTAAAAATGCATGTAGAATCTGTAAAGATGTAGATAAATAATATGAAAACACATGAACAATCTGTAAAAACACGTGAGTTTTGTTTAAAACTTACACATTTTACGCTGATTTTAATAAATTTTTCACATAATTCGAAGAGATTTTATAAATTTTCCAACATCTACATATTTTCCAATGCGATTTTCAATGGATTTTCTCGTCATTTAACTTTACCAAGTCTTTTAAAACAATATTTAAACCTTAAACCATCGTAACAACAAAGAAAGAAAAAAAATGTAATTACAACCCAGTAGAAGCCATTAAATAATCAAAATAAAAAGTATTACCGTCCTGTACAGCTTCAAAAAAAAAAAGAAAAAAAAAATAAAGAGTAAGAACGGAAGTGCGTAAGTGGCAAAGTTCTCCAAGTGAGTAAGAATGAGGAAACGTGTTAACAACTCAGTTTTATGACATGGAATCCCTGTCGGCGAAAAGTACAGAAGAGTGATGACTACAAGTTGAGAAGAAGAGCACGTATACTGGACAGAAATTTGTCATGCAAATAGGTCGTGAACTGCACAAACTCATCCTCCTCTCTTCTTCTTCTTCTCTTCCTGGCTACAGACGTTTTATTATTCAAGCTTTGCTTTAATGAAAATATACTTTACTTCTTCTTCTTTAAACTATTTAAACATTCATGCAGATTTTTATGTAAAAATCTTCAGCAAAAGGACAAATAGGGGGGAGAAAAATGCATTAAAGTAAACAATAGTTTCGTATGGAATCAAATTGTGTAGACGTGATCGAGTTTACTGCATGTTGTCATGCGATGCACGGGGGGGGTGGTGGCACGTTGGGAAGGCGATTTAAATTATTTAAATTTAAGAAAAAGCATCCCATTACGCCACCGAAGTATAAAGCGCGAGACACGACATAAATCTATAAATCCTATGCGAGAAATATATAGTATATAAAGAGAAATTAACCTTATTGTGAATCTTCCCCCGTTTTTTTCCCTCTGTTTATTTATTTTAGGTATTATTTTGTAGAGAAAATCCTCTTTAAAGAGACTTCTTATAAAGAAATCGAGGTTTCTAAAGTGATTTTTTGACATAATAAGGTTCAAATAAAGACTAAAAATAGGTTCTAAAGAACCCTCAAGGCTCCATTCTTGGCAGAGAAAAAATAAAATAAAATAAGGTACAGAAAAAAATCCCCACCAATCTCGTTAAAATGTATGAAAGGGGATGGTAAAACATAAATGGGCACTTGTATAAAGTCTGTGTTAACTTACCTAAAGGGTTATAAAAGATATAAATAAAGAAAATGGTGTAAAAAGAAAACACGCTTAAAAATTGCAAGAAGCTCCTAAAAAATACATTTATAATAAGTAAAAAGCATATTTCGTCCTTCAAATATGTATAAAAAGACCGTATAGAAAAAAAAAATGTATCGAGCCTGTAATTTTT